TTTTTTTTTTTTTTTTTTTTTTTTTTTTTTTTGAAAAAAATATAATTTTCATTTGAAAAAATAAAGAGCCATGTCGAGTGGTGTCCCCATAGCAGCAATCCAATCCCTTGGCTTTTCCGAAGTAAGAAAAATGCTAATGGCAAGCTGAAAAAACCATTTACCTCTAAATTATAAAGGGCCAGCTTTTAGCTCCAAATTATACAAGGTTCTATGTTTAGAGGGGTAGAGAGGCACCTTTGTGATCAGTGGTCCCTTGTTAGGTTCTATGTTCCTTTTTGGACATTAGTGACAAGGTTGTTTTGTAGTAATTCTTTAGGTCTACCTTTGTGATATATGGTCCCTTGTTAGGTTATATGTTTATTTTTGGACATTAGTGACGAGGATGTTTTGTAATAATTCTTTAGGTCTTGTTTACTTTATCAGAGTCCCCTTGTTTTAGTGGGGCTCCTTCTAATGGGCTTGATGTTTTTTGGATGCATGTCTATTCTTTTATTTTTATTCAATGAAAGTTCACTTCTTTTTTTTCTAAAAAATAAAATACAACGCAAGCAAGAACCTTTTGAAGGGAGGGCTCTATAATCGTGTCCTTTCCTTATTATTAGAGAAAGGGGTCCTTGTCATAAAAAACTAACAAGGTTGGGAATTCTGCTCCTCAGAAACAAGGGCGATTGCTGGCGTTAAAGCCCTTTATTACTCGTAAGATAGGGTGGAGGGTTTTGCTCCTTGTCTAAGCATTTTCACACTAAGCTCTTTGATTTTGGGTTTTGTGGGTATGGTAGGATGATTAAGTTATCGATCTTCAGTTGTAGTGATGTTTACTACAATTTTTTGAATATTTTCTTCTTTTGTTGGTCTGACATTGGAAATAGGTTGACTAATATGGTATTGTGCCTTCTATTTCAGTGAGGAAAATCAAGTGTGCAATTGTTTATGTGCTTTTGAAATTTGATCAAAATAAAGTAGTGTCGAATTTACTCTTGAAATGTGTTCAAAACTCCTCTTTTCATGTTTTTATGGGTGGTGCTAGTGTTTGGAATGACTATTTATTCTTTCATTCTTAATCTTCATTTTCAATTTTTCATGTATTCATTGAGTCTCGGGATGAGATAAATAGTTATTACAATTTCAAATAATATTTAAGAGTGGCTTCTCTTCAGCAGAATTTTATCCCACATATTTATTCTTTTCATGAAAATGATAATTTGTTTACTTATTAGAGAGAAGCAATACTTTGCATCATATGGAATATTCTTGTTAATATTTTGTGGTCTTACTACGTCATCAATTTTGTTTACCCTTGTCTACTCTACAACTTTGAGTTTTATCTTTCTATTCTTGTAGTGGCCGTGGGCGCCGTGTGAAATGGGATGAAGATAATATTGGTCATATTGAAGCAAATAAACCTGTGCGGCAGAAAATTACTGAACCTAAAACGCCTTATCATCCCATGATTGATGATGACGGTGTGTATTTCTTCTATCAGAGGCATTACAGTAACTCAGAGAATTTATTATTAAAGATTCCAAAATGGAAGATACTATTGTTTAGATTAATTGCTTTGAATTTTAATAACTTTTTTATAATTATTGAACTTGGGTCAGTTTATCTTTTTCTAAGGAAGAAAATTAGATGTATTCTAGAATTACTTTTTCATTTCCGTTTTAAGATAAAGCTTAATTTTTTTAAGTAAAAAAAATTTTATTATTATTTGACAAAATTTTACAAAAGAAGTCATTAGATAAAAATATTTTATGGGTAAGACCATTTGATTTTGACTTAGTTTCTTCTCACTAAAGTATAAGAACTTTAAGAAAACGTAAGAAAGAACGAAAGAAATTTTGTTGAACCCAGCGTCTCCTATTTTCTATGAGCAATGGTGATAACTCATATAAGCTTAATAATGAGATGCGGCAGAAGAAGCTTTTGAGCATCAATAATGTAGAAAATTATATCGTTTTTTTTTATTAGATTGCTAGGATTTTTTAATGAAGGTTCATTTTCTCACTTTTAATCTCTTCCCTTTTCAATTTATTTTATGATTCATTTCATGTGAAGTATTTGCTTGCGAAATTTATGTGCAAACATGATTAAAATCTAAAATTTCTCCAATATTAAATCAGTTTTCTTTAGTTTTCATGGAGTATATAAAGCATTGATATGCCTTGGCCATCTCGCTGGGAATGCAAATTGATATGTTTAGGTGTAAAACTTTGCTCAGTTCAACAGTTTACGAAAATATTGCGTCACAAGTTTTTAATTGTTATTTTGTTGGTTGCAGAGTCTCTTTCTCCTGTGAGGGACAGATTTGACTTGTGTGTTGGCGATGCAATGCATGCAGAAGCCATTCGAACTGCGTTGAATGATGTAGCTTCTTCATCAAGTGGTAAAAGCAGCCAGCGATCTAGTGGTTGGACGTCTTCTGAGGATGAAGCAGATGCCATGGACCAAGATGATGAAGGTTCCAATGCCCTTTTTCTCATTTCTTCTATATCCATTGTCTAACATAACATGTTTTCTTGGACCTCAAAGTAGTTTTATAAACGGTCTATTCTTAGGATCAAACAAGCAATAGTAATCATTGCTTGTTTGATAAGTTTTCTTAAAACCTTTACGATGTTTACCAGATATGCTGTGTTGTTTTACTACGATACCTTTTGAAAATTGGTTTTCACCATCATTTTCAAAGAAAAAAAAAATCCACATAAATGTGGCGGCTACTACCCCCACCATTAAATGTTCTTTATACTATTTCTTGTTTGATATTTTCATTTTAAGTTCTGTGAATATTGATGCTCGACCCTTTTCTGCGTTTGGCGCTTGGGATTGGAAACAGATAAGGGCAATTTGAGCTTTAAGGAACACAGAAGAGCTCACTACGATGAATTTAGGAAAGTTAGAGAACTCCTAAGGAATGGTTCGCTTTTAGTGGAAGAAGACGACGATGAAAACGTCGAGATGGATGTGACAAGAAGATGTTATTCATCTTCATCACTAAGTACAGGTGTGAAGCACATTGGTATTGAGAAAAAGGATAAAGATAATTTCTCTCAACAATCACCTTCACCAGCCAATGGAGTTGGAGGTAGATCCAAGCAAAGGCAAACATATCCAACTGACTGTTAGAAACATCTGATAAGAAATTGTTTGGGTGCAAAATTTCCAATGACTTCTTTTTTTCCCTTTTCCTTTCCATTTTTGTCTATGTAGGACTCTGTATTGTAAATAACTTCATTTCTTTGTCCATCTCAAATGTGGCAAGAGTATGATAACATCTGGCTTCTTTTCCTTTTGTTCCGTTCCATTTGGCAATACCATTTCTGCTTGGCAATAATTTTGAACTTGAAGCCAAAAGGTTACATGAGCAAAGCTGCTTTTGCATACTTTGTGTTTTTGATGCAGTCTAGCTCATTTTAATTTTCATGGTTCTCTGTGTATTTCATCTTTGGTTTATTTATAATGGAAATGATACTTTGGTGTTTCGAAACTTAGAAACCATATTGTTCTATTGCCTTTTTATAGAAGAAAATTTTAGGTCTCAATTGGTTCGATTATGTTTTTTAGAACACCAGATGTTATTGAAACAATGATAATATTCAGGAGAAATGACATTTAGGGTATCATATGGTGTCAAATAACAAGTTAGTTCAGTCACTATGTCGGACATTTAGGGGTATCATATGGTGCCAAATAACAAGTTAGTTCGGTCACTATGTCAACATTTAGGAGTTGCTTGGAGTTATGAGTTGGGTATTTTTAACCCACCCCTTGTTTGGTTTGGTACTTCCTTTGTGTCTCATTACTCTCTTTAGTGAAAAGGGGTTGGAGATCGAGCTATGGATTGTCTAGGCTCGAGTCTATCTCATTACCCTCTTTAGTGAGAAGGGGTTAGAGATCGAACTATGGGTCATTTAGACTCGAGTCTATCTCATTACCCTCTTTAGTGAAAAGGGGTCGGAGATCGAACTATGGATCATTTAGACTCGAGTCTATCTCATTACCCTCTTTAGTAAAAAAGGGTCGGAGATCAAACTAAAGGTCATTTAGGTTTGAGTATTTACAACTATCGTGATTGATGGAATAACATTTACTAGTTTAAGGACTTAAAAAAGGGACATCAATTATAGAAAGTTCCAAGTGCTTGGAAGCAGATAAAGAAAGGGTTTGATGCATGAATTAGGATAAGATCCCAAAGTCAAATTAAATTGATCATGAGTAATACTAATATTTTGTTTGAACATGTAAGGTCATCCAAATGCGAAACAAGCCCTCCTCATGATGACAATTTGACTAGTATTTGACAAGAGGATCATGCGAGGGGGATGGGGGCCCCTACAGAGATGACATCTAACACTTTCGAACAGGTGGAGGATGATGATGTCTGATTGGATTCACAAGAGTACTGTGTTGGAAGAAGATGACGTTTGGAGGATGAAATGTAAAAAATCCCAACCAGCAGCCCTAAAGTAACAAAAAAAACGTCATCACAAGCAGAAATGGTTGACAATCAAGACTCCAAACACATGATGAACAGAATTTGTAATTTAATATTGTGGGGACTCTGATTAGGAAGCTATTTAATATGAAGGATGATATATAAGGAAGCCTAGAGTTGTAATAAATACTATCCTATTTCCTTTCTCCTCACATCCATTCAACTATAATTGTAATGAAACTTAAGAACTAAGGTCCCAACATACCAAATTTTACAACCTTTTATCCCTCTCTACCTATATTTGTACAGGCAGAGCAACAATGACTTGAAACCATAACGTGCTCAAAACTGCTGCTGCGCCAAAACAAATTATTCACACCAACCAGGCCTCCTAAAGCCATCACGAAAATAGGGAATGCAAACACAACGAAGAGAAAATCGAACCTGTCAACCCAAACATTGTATCCACAAAATATCCACTGCAACTTTCAGAATGTATTGCTGTTACTATAAATTCTCAAGTCTTGTCGTCGAGATAACTGACTCGAAACCAACCGGGGCACGTCTCAAGCGTTTATCTCTGAATTGCATTGATTCTCCCTGCTACCGCTTCTTCTGCCCCAAAACATGCTTGAACAGCTAGTTCTTTCTTGTCTTGGATCTCCCAATTTGTCCTGGTCTATTGGGGTAGTTTGCAAGTGACGGGGCGATTCATCTTCTGTTCCAACGTCTCGGGGCTCGAAGGTTGGGCATGGACCGTCATTGCATGTACATAGAGGAATGGCAGCAGAAGGGAATGGGCTACAAGTTACTGGGCAAAATACATCTGAAGAAACCGATGCTACACGATTCTTTCGGATCTCTGGCGTACAAGTAGAAGCCTGATCTTCAGCATCACAGGTGTGAAGAATGCATGGATTGCATATGCTAAGAGATAGATGAAGCTGTTTTTCCTTTGCTGTGGCACGAGACAACTTTACGAAAGATATAATTGCATGTCTGCAAAGGGGGCATGGAATCGAGCCTGATAAACCGATTGTTTGTGATTGGATATTGCTAGTCGAACAAAGATAGAGTGCACATCTTACACAAAGCTCATGTCCACATCCTACAGAAGCAACCAAGTCCGTAAATTACTGGCAAACCCAGCTATAGAAATTCATGTTCAGAACTAAAAAGCCAAGTTGAAAGAAATTTCTAACAAGAAAACACTAAGAAAAGTAAAGGAATTTCATAGTAAGAAAATAGTAACGATAGTGATACTCGTGAAGGGATAGTGATACTCGTGAAGACACGAGTACCAAAATGGAACAGGAACTAAACTAAGATTAACCTATTTAAGTTTCTTTGAGATGTGAGCCCGAGTACAAGTTGGAAGCACAAGTTCAAGCCAAAAATACCAATCGAAAAACAACGAGAAGCTCAAATAGATTTAGCATTAACAGGTTATGAAAATTGGAGAATGGCATCATTAATTTTTCAAATAGGCCAAGACTACCCCAAGATCTCGAAATTGGCTAATAACAAGTAAGGTTCTGCTCATTCTAGCTATAGCAATCAAAACTTGCCCGATCGAAGAACGCAAAAATAATCGCATGATAATCATCTCGATAAGCCAACCAAAATAGGACATGAGTAAAATAAGATTCAGATGTAAACGCATGAAAAAGGAACTTACCTTCTGCTGCCACAGAACATACTCTCTCTAAACAGACAGCACAAGTATCCCCTTCGTCGGAGGTCGCTCCCATAGACTTAAAACCGCATTCCCTGCAAAGCATCCCACGTCATTATCCACGTTTACAATGTGCTAAAGAGTAGCCAAGTTTTATATGTGGAATGCAACTTTCACCAAAATGTAGCTTCCAATATCATGACACTAAGTGATCTAGGTGTTAAACACAGCATAGCCACTTCTTCATGAAACTGGTGTAAACAAATACTGATCTAAAAAACAGAAAAATTTAGGAACTTACACGGCCCCATCCCAATCAGGTTTCATTCCCCATTAGAAGATACGGAAAAATAACTGCCATGGGAGGAGGAGGCAAGGATTCAGCTGGTTCATTAATTTAACTTGCAAACAGTCCACCATGGAGTAGAGAAAAGAAGGGGGAAATTGAAACAAAGGTTGTTAGGTCTTGTTATAGAGAGAGAATTTAAACCCGATCATCTTCTTTGTTTTTCTTCACGTCGGCCATCAACACCAACAGCATCTTCTTTCTTCACGTCGGCCATCAACACCAACAGCATCTTCATTCACGGGCAGCAAATCCAATCATCTCCTTTGGCTCCTTCTCCGACAAAGGAGCGCAGCAGCAGGGAGTTCACTCAACACCAGCGATCGAGATGGAGAAATCTGACAGAGGATTTTCCATCCGGCTAAAGCTTTCCCTTTTCTACGTGTGATCTACGTCTAGTCCAATAAAATTGTAGCAGGTCTGTGGGTGTGGGGTTTTCCCTCCGACAGTGGATTCATGGAGATTTTGGGTGGTTCGGGTGTGACCTATAAGCTTTTCAATTTCGTGTCAGGTTGTATGTAGGTGGTGAAGTCCAAAGTTGCATAGTTAAAAATTGGAACTCGGGGCTGTTTTGACGAGGAACCCTTGATTAATTGATAGAATGTAAATTATGACCCTTGAAAATTTTTGGTGTGTAGTTTTGGACCGACTATTCTAGTTTTTAGGATTGGCGTTGGGAACAAAGTCATTAAAAAAAAAAAAAAAAACAAATGCAATGATATCAATAAGATGCAGAAATTCATTCCATTGCCATAAAAAATGCAACCAACACTAGCAACTCGAAAATATAGCAAACAACCAAATACCTGGCAATGTTTAATGCACTCAGTAGAGGCAAGGACAGGTAGTTGGAAGTGGGGAATCTCGGTATTATAGAGACCGAATTGGGAGCTACCACAGGTTCGAGCCAGTGGCGTCCCCACATTCTGGCAACATCTAAAGGAAGCCACCTGAAATGGTAGTCACATTCCAAATTAGGCAAGTCACAACGAAAGATAGAAAACCAATCACAAACACTGTGAGAAAGATATACCCATTGCAATTCAAAGTCGTCCGAGAAGCACCTCTTGCAAGGAGAATCTGCAAAATTTAAAACGTAAAGAAATGTGAACGAGATATTCAAATTTCGCATTAAACCCAAAATTTTACTATTAAAATCAAAAAAGATGTCTTACCTGACAGCACTTCAAGTTACCCCCACAAGCTGCATAATGCAATGGAGTGCTTCCAGCACCTAAAAGGATATAATCATTCGTTGTTAATGAAAGATCTCAGAGCACCATTACAATTTAGAAGCACGTTTTGAGGGAGTTACCTATCAAATCCATCGAGGTCCCGTAGTGAAATGTTACTGCAGAAACATTAGCCTGAAGATCGAGAAGAAGATGAACACAATCATAATATCCATTTAGTGCTGCCATGTGAAGAGCAGTAATGCCACCATCAGCGGCCTTATTTATAAACTTGGACAAAGCACTGCACTGGAAACACAAAAATAAATCACAAGAATAATAAAAAGGTCAAGAAAAGTTTACAATACGCTACGGTAAACGACCAATATGTTGTAGAGAATCTACAATTTGATTTATTTTCCAGAAAACTGCATTCATGTTTCCGTTATATATGTTGTAACTAAAACTTTTTCCTTCAAATTGAAAGTATACAAATCTTGCCCGTATCTACCTTTTCCTATAACAATCAAACCAGCCAGCAACTATACAAAATCTATGTTTCGATGTAAAATGAAACGAGTCAATTACCCTTGTTCACATCTGTTTTTCACATTCGCACCATCACTTTTGCTAGGATCTGTCTGGCTATCGATAGCCTCATAGGGAACACTCGGAACAAAGTCAGCCACGATAAGTCTTAGACATCTCACATG